TATATGGATGTGACCCTGTTATAAATAAAGGCTTTCTATGTGTAAGATTAAACCAGTTAACTTTATATTAATATTCTTGTGCTCTAGGAAAGATATACATATCTCTGGTTTATGGCAGGTTATTTTCATAGTATAGACTGTTAAGTTCCTTTGATTTGACACTGATGTATATAATTGGCATGAGATAAATATTTGAAGATATCTGTGTCTTTACCATTTTTTCAGACTTTTAGAATATAAAGAAAAGACATGTTTAGTTACTAATGGATCAATTAAATTTATAACAAATTGATAACTTTAAATATTTTGAACATGTTTCTACCCTAGGCATTAATATTAATAGGATAGTTAAAATCATGGATCCCATAAAGTACTCTTTAAATGCATAAAGTATATATTAAATGACTGTTTTCACTTAAAAGAAGGAATATCTTTCATTGTTAAAGTTAGCTTTCACCATGCCTTTCACTTACATAGAAATAAGATATGAACACATCAAATTAAAAAATAAATAATTTTAAAACTTTCTCCTGATTTAAAAAATGAAAATGTTAAGATCACAATGCCCTGTATTGACGTTTCTTCCTCTCTTTTCCCTGACAACGTTCTTAGAAAGAAAAGTGCATCCAAAGTGTAATGTTGTTGAGCTTACAGATGTAAGCACCACCTTTGGTTCTTTTGACATATCCCACATCACTTTGTAAGCATTTCCTCACTTTCTGAAAAAAAAAAAAAAAAGAATGATGTTCCAGAATCCCCTTGTGCTTTCCCTGGTTCAGCACTGTCTGTGGTCAGTTTTTTACCCAAGGATACACATGTACACACTCATCTCTTAATTTACATACACCTGTACACACATATGCACACAATATTTCTATTTTTTTATTAAGAACTATAAATTTACAATAATATATCCAATTTCAATCCAGCATCATAGGATTTATTTTACTCTTATGCATTTCCGTATTTTCATCTCCTTTTCCATCAAGGAGTAAACTTTCTCTGATGATCTTCAAGAATGTAGTAATTTCCCCTAATATATTTGAAACAAAAAGAAGTTTCAGCATTTCTAATTTAAACAACTGTGAAAATCATACCTCTTAAGCACAATGCATTTTTTTACAGCTTTATATTTCTTTGGAGACAGAATATTTTGTCAAAATTTGTGCTCAATATTTTTTTAAATTTATATTTCTACTTTGGATTTTACAGCATGTGAAAAATATTCACTCCCATTAAAATGCAAATAAATCACCAGAAAATTTTGAGAGAGGGCATGTGAGTTGGGGAGGGGCAGAGAGAGAGAATCTCAAGCAGGCTCCACACACTGTCAGTGCAGAGAGTGATGTGGGGCTTGAATCATGGGACATAGTACATCAGGAAATTTAAAGGACATAGTACATCAGGAAAACAATTGTAAGAATGAAAGCTTATTTTCTATTGTAAACATTAGACCCTGTATCATAACAGATTATTATTTTTCTAGCCCCAAATGCTAGAATTCTATATCAAATGAAAAAAACTTTTGTATGATATTCTTTTTTTTAAGTTTATTTATTTACTTTGAGAGAATGAGAAAGAACGAGTGGAAGAAGGGCAGAGAGAGAGGGAGAGACAGAATCCCAAAGCAGGCTCCACACTCCCAGCACAGAGCTCAGTGCAAGGTTCTATCCCATGAACTGTGAGATCATGACGTGGCTGAAACCAAGGGTCGGACTCTTAACTGACTGAGCAATCCAGGTTCCCCAAGATATTTTCAATACACCAAAATGAAGACCTTTTTTGATCAATGAAAACTGATAGAATTTATTATTATCAGACCTGCAGTACAATAAATACTAAAGAAAGTTCTTCCAGTTAAAGGGTATTGATACCAGATGGAAGTCTACTTCTTCAGAAATGAATAGAGCCCAGAAAAGATGAAGAAAGGGATAAATATAAAATATTTTTTTATTTACCTTTGCATATACATTCTTCTTTTAAAAAATTCTTGGTGTGACTGAGTGACTCAATTGGTAAAGCATTGGAATCAATTTCTGTTCAGGTCATGATCTCTGGGTGTGAGATGGAGCCCCAAGTCAGGCTCTGCTCTTGGCATGGAGCCTGCTTAATTCCCTCTCTCCCTCTTTCTCTGCCCCTCACCCTGCTCACGTGTGTGTGTGTGTGTGTGTGTGTGTGCAGGAGCTCTCTCTCTCTCTCTCTCTCTGTCTCTCTCAAAATATAAATAAATAAATAAACGCATGAATAAATAAATAAAATAACTAACTAACTAAATAAATAAATAAATTTCTTTATTTTTGATTGCTCAGGATTGGGTAAGTAGAATTATGCTGTTGTAAGTCTTTTACAATATTCATAAAGTAGTATCATTGTATTTGATGATACTATTATTAGTTAAAAATCAAAATTTCAGTCTCTAGACTGAGTCAGCCAACTTCTGTTCAGGGGCCAAATCTGGTGTACAGATTCTTTTGAATGGATCATGAGCTAAAATTCATTCTTGTATTTTAATGAAATGAACATTTTTGAAAAGGGAAATATATTTATATATGCACATATATATATGTGTGTATATATATATATATATGTGTGTATATATATGTGTGTATATATATGTGTGTGTGTGTGTGTGTGTGTGTGTGTGTGTGTATCCCAATGCCTAAAATACTTGATATCTGACTCTTTACAGAAAAAATAAATTCTGATGCTTACTCAAGAAAAAGCACTTTTAAAAAAATACATACATATATACACAAGAAAAAGATGCAATTAAAACATTAATGAATGAAATTTTTTAAAAAGGCATCAAAAAGATTAACCCAAATGAACAAATACATTAAAATATATACTTTTTTAACTTTTAATATTACTTTTTAAAGTTCATTTATTTATTTTGAGAGAGGGAGAGAAAGTGAGAGGGGAAGGAGCAGAGAGAGAAGGAAAGAAGAAGAATCCCAAGCAGGCTCTGCACTAGCAGCAGTCATGTGGAGCTTGAAGTCATGAATCCTGAGATCATGACCTGAGCCTAAACCAAGAGCTTAACTAACTGAGCCACCCAGGCATCCTAAAGCCAAGCATAATTTTTTACATGTTAATATACATTATTAATCTGAGAATCTAGATAAGATGGGTAAATTTTTAAAAATGTTCAATGCAAAAGTTGATGTTGAAGAAATAGAGCACAAAAATAAGCCATGCCGCTTATTAAATAATTGAAATGAGATCATGTCACCATTTCTCAAAATAGTCAAACCAAGAAATTTTTAGGGTAAGTTCTAGAACATCTTAAAACAAAAATTAATTGCTTTCTTCTATAAATCATTATATAAAATTTAAAAGACTTGAAGATGCCACCTCATTTTATGAGGTTATATAATATTAATTCAAAAATCAGATAAGAAAATACCACAAAATAAAATTTTATAGGTTAATTTTTCTTGTGACTATAAATAAAAAACCCTAAAAATAATTGTGATTAAGACAAAGGAGCTTTATGAATTTTAACACCCATATAAATTACAAAAGTGGCTAGCAAAGCTAGAAATTAAAGGGGTCTTTCTGACGTGATAAAAATTATATACCAATCCATTCAGCAACTATCTCACTAAAAGGAGAATCTTTAGATGTGTTCCTTTTAGGATAGAGAAATACACAAATTTTCTCCCCTGGCAGAGTGTATGTTCAACACAGCACTGGAGCACCTGAGGTCCTGGAGGACGTTTTAAGAAAAGCAAAAGAAAAAGTGTTATAGAAAATAAACAAGAATGGGTCAAAATGAGATTATTTACAGGTGTTATAATCATCTACCTAGAAAAAAAAAAAGTGGCAGAGTCAAAAGAACTAGTAAGATAATTCAGTAAATGTGCCAGATAAAAGATGGATTTATGACAATTTCAACTAATGGATTTTAAACCAACAAAAAACAACAAATAATAGAATTTGTCTTAAGTTATGACACATAAGGCCAACAAAACTATAAAGTATGAAGAAAGCAACCAAGAATATACAAGACAATTTTAGGGAAAATTTTAAAATCTGAATAGAAAGCAGACAAGATATCCTGACTACATGGAAAGATATTTTATACTTTTGTGTTGGATAACTTTAAATTATAAATATGCCAGTGATCCCCATAAATAAAATCAGAAATTCAGTGCATTTTTTTAAGTTTATTTATTTATTTTGAGAGAGAGACAGCATGAATGGGGGAGGGGCAGAGAGAGGGAGAAAGGAAATCCCAAACAGGCTCTGAGCTGCCAGGACAGAGCCTGACGTTGGGCCCAAACCCAGGAAACCGTGAGATCATGACCTGAGTTGAAACCAAGTAGGTCACTCAACCAACTAAGCCACCCAGGTGCCCCCAGTGCCTTTTTAATTAAAATTCCATTTAACTTATTTGAAAAGCTTAACAAAATTCCATTAAACTTTACATGAAGAATAAAACTTCACTAATAGTTAAATAAAAATAAAGACAGAGGATTTTCCTCATTTGGTTATAAAGGCATATTTAGAATCATAGTATTAAAAAGAATACTATATTACCACAAGAACAGGCAAATAAGCAAAAAACAATAGAAATCTCTGACACAGATAACTACACATTCAGGACTCAAATTTTTAATATAGATGGCACCATTAATTCGGTAAGGGCAAATCAAAGTCTTTAGTAGATAGCATGGTAAAAAGTAGGTGAGTATGTAGACAGAAATAAAATTGGATTCCTATCTAAAAGGGTCAAAGAACTAAATGTGAGAAAGAAAAAAAATGGTTTAAAATGATGGACGAAAATGTAGGAGAATGTTCTGTGACCAAAGGTGGAACAGAAGATCCTAATTTAGTTTTGAAAAGTACAATCTGTAAGGCAGTAAATAGATTGATGATACAGAGATACATAGATGTTATATAGGTAGATGAATAGAGTCTGTACTGCATTCTTATTAGTACTTAGCATTTTGCTGCTTTACATTTGTGACCTAAATTAGATCCTATGACTCTTTCAGGCTTGTCCTGAGCTCAGTCTCCGACTATTTTGCTGCCATGTTTACAAGTGATGTTTGTGAAGCCAAGCAAGAGGAGATCAAGATGGAAGGCATAGACCCCAATGCCCTCTGGGACCTTGTCCAGTTTGCATATACAGGTACAGTAAAAAGAATTATAGCTTTATGTTGCTGTCTTGTGAGTTTTAGAATTTTGGTATAGGATTTAAAGCTTAAAAATGTGCTTAGTTTGTATTTTTTTATTTTTTTCAGTTGAAAGATTATCTAACAGAAAAATCAGACTACTTGTTCATTTGTCGTGAAATCAAAAATGTATATACGTATACATATATCCTATTCCCTTCCACAAAGGATTTAATAAGTTAATAAAAATAGTCAATGGAATGAGCTGGGGAGAGGTTATTAATTCTCAAATAAAAATTTGTTGGTATCCATACTTAGAGCATTAGTCAAGGAAATAGATTCTCATTTGTTTTCCTTTTGGAAAGTATGGGTTGAAAGAACTCTTTTCTCCTTGTAATATATTATTTTAACATTAAAATTTTCACAGAACATTTAATGTGGATTTGACAAGTGTAGTTGAAAGGGACAATGAAGATATTTAGAGTTATGAAAGTGACTAATTTTTGAAGTATTTTCTTCCTGATCTACTATGTTGATGTTTCCTAATGGCCTTTGCACCATGTTATGTTTACCACATTCAGATAAGTTTGCCAATTAGCAAACATTTGATGAATGTTTCAAAGGTGCAAGTATCAGCTGTATCTCTGGAGAATAAACCAATGAATCAGCCATGCCTTTGTCTTACAGAAGCTCACAGTCCAAGTAGAGAAGTTAAATGAAGGAATGAATACGGTATAAGGTGATACATTAAAAGAGAGTTGAAGACATAAAACCTGCCTCTCCAGGCATTATCAGGGCTCATATCCATTTAAAACATTTTAATAATTTCTAAAATTAGTGTGGTAAGGGGAGACATTATAATAAAATCTTGGTATAGAAGCAAAGGCAGATAGAATGAATTGATGTAATATATATATATA